GCACAAGAAGGGTGCGTGGAAACTTCAGGTCCCAGGCTCTGAACTGATGTCCCTCCCACCACATCCTTCCAGCCAAAGCAAGTCACAGGACCATGGCCAACTTCCACGGGGAGGGAATATACTTAGCCTCTCGTGGGAGGTTCTGCAGTTACATGCCAAAGGGTGTGCATGCAGAGAGGGAGGAGCCTGGAATAATAATGCACCTGCTTCCTGCTGGTAGCCATTTGGGGTGATGGGCAGGACAGATGCCAGCATGGCCACTTCGTAGAACAGGGGACTGCTGTGGCCCAGAAAGGTAAAATGATTTCTCTTCAGCCCCAGAAGGTAGGCCTACACTCCTGGTCACCTGATCTCTAAGCTTCATGCATTCCCCACTCACCTAGACCTTTGCCGCCCATCCTGGATGTCCCGGGTCCTAGGCTTTCTTCTAGCCAGTCCATCAGACCTTGAAATGTAACATTTCCAGACTGCACAGAGAACAGGAAGATGCAGACACAGAGAGTTAATTTTTGCCCAAACTTCGGAATTCTGGAGGAAAAAAAAAAACCTATACGCAATACTATATTTTTAGCGCTAAATGGTGCTAAAAGCATTTTTTGGCACTCTTTGGGCGGTTCGCTTGGGAGCGGAAAGCTGAATGTGCTGTGCGTCCCCTGGTTTTGTCAAAGCACTCCCTTCTGGAAAGGTGGGCCTGCTTCTGGCAGCCCGTGCATTCACGGTCCTTTGTACGTGCTTTAAAATGGTGGTCGCCTCTGGGGAGAAGAAAGCCCGGGCCTCTCACCTGTATCTGGCTCTCTCTCTAGAGTATCTGAGGTGGGAAAAGGGAAGAAAATGCCATCATCACAGAGAAAACCAGCAGATGCTGAGACCTTTCTATTTTGATCTGAAAGAAGTTGAGCATGTTGATACACTGACCTCCACTCAACTGTGAAGGATTGCCATACATGGACGTGATCATCCTGTTGTCCTCACTAGCCATGGGGCAGGAATGGCCAGAAGAGCCAACTCTGGCTATAGACATGACGGGAACCATCCGCTGAGGATCCTTCCAGGAAAGAAATCTTTAGTCCTTAGAAGGAGACAGGAAGAGATTATCCTTCTGCTTCTCTTCTTCTTCTGGATGCTGCCATGTCTGGACATGCTGTGATGCCTGGATCTTGGCAGCCATCTTGCATCACTGAGGGGGACCTACCTGGGGGCAATACTGTCATTATTGAGCGCTGCATGCCAGGCAGGCCCTGTGCTGAACATAGGACATGGATTGAATGCTTTCTAGATCTTCTTAAGTGCCAGGTCCTGAGGACACAGAAGAACAGGCCTCAAAGAGGTCCCAGCTGGGGAGGGATAACAGGGTCAGACAATGGCGACACAGCACAGGGAATGACAACAGAGGTCCAGGGGGCTGGGGGAGCACCCTCCCTGCCGCTCACCTGCTGCCTCTGCATCTCACCATTCTGTAAACAAATGTTCTCCCACCATCTGGGCTCCTCATGGGCCCCGTGCCAGCTTTCCCCAACAACAGTGACAGCAGCATATGTGGATTAGCACCTCCTATCAGCTCATTTTGTCCTCCCAGGATCCTCATGAGGAAATCCTCCCCATTTTCCAGTCAGGGAAACCAGGCCCAGGGCGGTGACGGCGCTTTTACCTTTTAGCTTCGGCATTAACTTCTCAGTGTGGGCGGGCCACAAGGGCTTCAGTGCCCTGGAGTTGTCACTTGTCCCCCAAACGCTTCTGCGCCCAGTCACCCCCACTGCCCAGGGCCCTCAGGACCGGATCTGCCACACAGAACATTCCTCGTTCCTCGGGGAGCTGGGCCCTCCCCCTCGGCTTCTCCCTCCCCTGCCGTCCCCTCTGACAGTCAGATCTGCCATTCCCTCCGGGAGAGGAAGGCACCCCTAGTCACCAACCCGCTGTGCCCAGGCCCCACACATGGCTTCTGGTTTACGTTTACAGTAACTGATGGCACCACCGTGCCCACTTTGCAGAGCAGAAAACTGAAGCCCAGAGTGGGGGAGAGAGCAGAGCAGGAGCACACAGGTGGGAGAGGGTGGGTGCAGGACCGCCCCAACCCTGGCTGGTGTCAAAGCCCCAGGACCCGGGGGCGGGGGTGGCCTGGTTGGCTGCTTCTACTAGAGGTGAAGAGGTTTTGGGGGGGGAGCTGGTGTGAACAAAGGGACCGCACCCACCCCAAGGGCAAGCTGACTGCAGCAGAGTTTAAGCAGGAGGGTGTGAGCGGTCAGATCTGTGAGCAGTGGGTTGGTGCAGGGGACACGGAGGCTGGCACCTCATCCCAGGGGAGGCTCCCTTGGCCAAGAAGAGGGTCGTGGGGAGGGCAGATTCATGGGAACTTGGAGACTGGCCACGTGAAGGGTATGGGAGAGGAAGGTCTGAGGGGGGGACCCAAGTCGTACAGGAGCAAGTGTGTCCACAGCAGGGGGAGGGGGCAGGGGGGAGAGCTCTGGTGGTGGCCAGATGTGGGGGCGTGGCTACAAGAGGGGGCACAGAGCTGGGCTGCCAGGCTTGTGTTGGGGCGCTGCCATTGAATTGGCTGGGATTCGGTTCGGCTGTGGCAGAAGACTCACTGGAAGCCACTGGGAGTGTCCTTCCTTCCTGTCAAGGGAGGCCGTCCTGGGCGGGGCACAGGCTCCAAGGACAACGGCCGAGCCATCCTGGTGGCCTCCTCCCAGCCAGCTCAGCCAGGGTTGGGACAACGTGGTGCGGAGGGCACCACCTCCCGTCAGTCCAGTTCTTGAGCTGCCCGGGACACCACTGCTCACATTCTGTCCCCAAAACGTAGTCACATGTTGGCTTCCAGCAGCCAAAACGGCTGGGACACCTCGTATGGATTCTGGCCGCTGTCTGCCCAGCTCTGAGTCAGGAAGAAGGTGGATGATGTGGGCGACAGGGAGTCTCCGCCAGAGGTGCCTTCCAATAGCCTCCCGCCTTGGGCGGCCACCTGGTCTCTCTAGGCATCTGCCTGAAATGTGGGACAGGAGAACCTGCCTCAGGCACTTGGGGTGAGCCTGCGTGAGAGCTCCGCAACAACGGCGGAAGCCAGGGCACAAGGGGGCTGTGGAAGGTGGGCAGAGGACCACCCCGAGGGGAGTGGGAATGGGGAAGGCGGAGGGTGAGGGGCTGGGGAGGCAGGAGCGGCTGCCAGCGAGCAGCGGGGCGAGGTCCAGGCTGCAGAGTCAGCGAGAGGATCAGTGACACCAGGGAGGTCAGCCGGTGCGGAGAGTGGGTGCAGAGGCCAGAGTGACACGAGGGAAGGACAGCTGCAGAGCGAGAGGTGCCCGAGAGAGAGAGAGAGAGAGAGAGAGAGAGAGAGAGGAAGAGATAGGGTGGGACACGTGGTGATACCTGGTGATGTGTGGGCGGGGCTGCGGCATCCCCAGGCACCCGTGGGGGCCCCGTGGGAGGGGGGTGTGGCACAGAAGGGCAGCAGAACAGACCCGCTCCCCAAATCTCTGTAACCGGAAGGAAGCCAAGTCACCGGAGCCTGGGTCACGTCCAGGCAGGACGCACGCAGATCCGGCAGTGATCACACCCCTCTTAAGAAATTAGATAGAGCTTTATTAAATAAACCAAGTAGAAACGCGCTTATTTACATCCAAGTCGTCAGTTTGAGCTCAAGTGATAGGCAAGGCACAATTCTTCCTGTCTCCAGCTTTAGAAAAATAAATCGCATGGCCCGGCCCAAAAGGCCTGCGGTAGGTTCACGCTTGCGGCTCAGAGTCCAAGGGGACGGCTCCCCCCACACAGCGACCCCGCGGGCCGGGCTCGGGGTGTGCCTCCAGTTCTTCCTGAGAGCGGCACAGCTCTCGGCCCAGGGCGGAGAGGCCGCGTTCTGGAGGCCTCGGGTGCTGAATGAACGAGGGGGCATCTTCTAGGCGTCTTCTCCTTCCCGGCCCCTTCCTGGAGGGCAGGCCCGCCCTCCTCACTGGCCGGGTCTGGCTCCGTGGCCTGCCGGGGGGCTGCTGCGGGGAGACTGGTGCCCACACGGGGCAGGCCAGAGGCTCAGGGCTGCTGAGGTGCACGACCGTGGTACAAAAGGAGGAAGGGAGAACACTGGGTTTTGGTCTGGTGCTCGGGCGGAACACAGTGGCTTCTCAAAACAAACAAACAAACAAACAAACAAACAAACAAACAAACAAACCAGAAGAAAAGGTCCCAGTCTCTGGCTCAGGGATGTTTTCCTAACTATGATTCCGAAGTCCCTGTGTGGGTAGAGAAGCCGGGATAGAGAGGAGGAGCCGGACCCCAAAGAGCACCCCGATGGAGCTGCGACCGAGTCCAGGAGACGCTTCCACGCGCAGGAAGCAACCACAGAGGACGCCGTCTATATTCACAGTGGCCCCCACGGAGGCAAAGAGCAGCCCGGCTCGTGGCTCCTGTGGCCCGTCGGCGTCTCCCGGTGAGGCTGAGCCAGTGTGGGGTTGGGCCCCGTTGGCGCCTACCTGAGGCCTCCGTGCAGTCACGGGGCCACAGCTTCAGACACTCGTGTCTGCTCGCCCCCCTCATTTCCTGGCAGGGGCCGGAGTAGGGGAAAAGTAAAGTTTCCAAGGAGGGGGAAAAAAAACCCCACCAATGTTAAGAAAAAATAAAAAAGTCCTTTCCCTGAGGCCACTTCAGGAACATCCCTTACAGACCACTAGTGAAGGGAGCTTCGCCTGCTCAAAGTCTCGAGAAGGGAGTGGTTCCAGAGACTGCAGGGAAGGAAAAGCGTTAAGTGCACGTTGTCCAGAAACCCTAGACAACCGGGCACAGAGGAATGAGCGAGAGTCTTAGCCTTTGTAAGATTCTGAAGTAAGAACAGAACAGAAAACAAGAGCCAACAGAAAGCCCTACACGGAAGGGTGAGCTAGCGGGCACAGCCTGAACTACAGGTCTACAAGAACACAGCAGGCAGCGACACGGGCCTGAGGGCTCGGGGCCCAGGGGTGCTCCAGGCCGGGCCCACCGTGGGGGCACAGGGGCGTCCCGGCCCGGCCCGTGGACTAGTGGGAGGGGTACGCGGGGCTCCACAGCCCCGATGGAGGGCTGGCTCTGCGGATGGGAGGCAGTGTGTTGAAAGGCGTCGGCGACGAGGCAGCAAAATCTAGGGAGGAAAGAGATGAGGTGACCAACAGAGCATATGGGAGAGCTCGGCGCTCCGCAGGGAGCCCTCTGTGCCTGCACCGGAATAGCCGCTAAGGACGCATCCGCTGCCCAGCTGGGCCATCCCCCTGACCGTGCCCCCAGGCAGCCCTGGGCCAGTGATGTGAGGTCACCCAGGAAAGGGGTGACAGCTGGACGTGCCGAGAGGCTTGGAGCATGAGCCCTGACCTCCCGCAGCTGCAGAGTGAGAACAAGCAGTGGGTCTTAAAACCACATGGGCGCGTCTGTGGGTCCGTGGGGCACGCAGGGAGCGGGGCCTGTCCATCTGGGCAGGAGCGGCCTCTTGGGCAGAGAAAGCCACATGAACAAAGACTCCAGGGCCTGGAGCGTTCAGGAGGTAACACATCTACTCCACTATGGCTCCAACACACAGAGGGAAGGGTTGGAAGATGGGATTAGAAAAGGTGAGTGCCCGTCGTAAGGATGGCTGAATGACATTTTGGGAGACTATGATTCCAGGGGTCCAGGATGCACGTGGGATCTGGTTACCCAGGAAAATGTATCTATATACATAACTGCATCCTTTTCCAAAAAATTTCAGACTCTTGGAAGCCTGGCCATGCCCCTTTTGGGTCAGCAGACACCATTCAAGGATTCCTCCTATAGGGGAGAGAACCCTCAAACGGAAAAGATATAAAGGCCACCACGTGCAGCTGTGAAGGTTGGGCACTACACAAGGTTCAAGGGACACCGCTCACAGAGAGGAGTGTCCCCTGGAGTTGTGTAGGATCACCAGGGCCTCAGGGTCACCAGAGACAACTGGACTTGAAGAGGAATGGCTCCTGTGATTCTCCCCCATCTGGGAGATCCATCAGCGGGACTGTCCAGAATCCTCACCTCTGAGTCAGTCAGTTCAACCCAGCTTAGAGCCCTCTGCAGCAGCCCCAGCAGGTAAGAACCAGTCCCAACATGCACCCCTGCAGAGACAGCCCCCGCTACCAGCCCTCCACCCTCCACGGTTCTGCCGGGGGAAAGCTCTCCTTGCCCAGGACCAGCTCCCAGACCTGCCTTCTGGGCCTCACACCCCAGCTGCCATTTTTGTGTGGGGCCAGAGCTTCTGAGACCTGGGGTTCGGGGCCTTGATCCCCACAACCCTCCCTCGTAGCCCCGGCTCTGCCTGGCTGCATCCGCAGGGTGGTGACTCACAGTGGGGGCTGTGGCGAGGGCTGGCTCCGGGGGAGAGGCCTGGGGGTGCAGTGAGCTCCCGGGGTGTGCAGACCGTGTGGTAGGCTGCAAGACAACATGGCTGGTTAGAGTTGGGGTCAGGGGTGGGGGGCAGCCCAGGGGACACAATGCAGCCCGCCTCACCTATGATCATGACAGCAGTCCCAGCCAGCAGGGCAAAAAGTGTGAAGAACATGACCTGGTAGGAATCCAGGAAGTGCTGGAAAAGGCTGGCTCCATCTGTAGTCAATGGAAAGACAAGTTACCAAACGGCCATGTGGAGTCCCCTTGTGTCTCTGTGCGTGGCCGGAGGGCGAGGCAGCCTGCCTGAGGCCTGGGGCAGCAGCCGGTCCTGTGGGGCTGTCACTCCAGCGCTCTGTCCTATTCCATCTTGGGCCACTTGAACCGACCCACGTCCACCTGAGGCCCTGCTGGGAGGAGCGTTCAGGTTCCATACCCATTCTGGGGAAGAGCAGAGCTGTCTGGGGGAGTTCGGAGGGGTAAGGGTGGCCCAGGAGTCAGCCACGTGCCCGGAAAGGCAAGGCAGTGTGGAAGATGTCAAGCCAGGAGCTGCCGTCATGAAAACGGAGGTCAGGGTTGGGCAAAGGCTCTGGACAGGGATGTTGCCGCCCTCAGAACTGAGGCCCATGCACCACGGGAGCCCGGCATCAGCTACCCCAAAGCCACTCCTCCTTTGGGGCCCTGGCTCGGGGTGGCCCAGACTGTGGCTTCCTCTTGCATCTCCCTCTGCCTCATCCTGGGCCCCTCCTCCTCCCCTAAATGGACTGTCCTGAGTCAGGACACATCCCTGCTTGACGGGAGGAAGGAGGTGGCCTCTTCAAGTGCCCCTGACATTGGCCTTAGCCCCTCAGGCTGTTCCTCTCCAGACCTGACCAGGCCACTTCCCTGCTCTCAAGAAAAAGCCCAAGCCCCTGGCCAGGGGTTCGAGCCTCCTCGTGGCCCGGCCCCTCACCCTGCACCTCACCCCAGGGCCCTTCTGACTGCTCGGCCCTCCCCCTGGCTACTCATCCTTCCAGACCTGAAGGAAGCAGTCCCTTTGAACCACACCCTCAGGCCAGCAGGCGTAAAATCACCCGCTCCGTGTGCCCCCCACTTCTTGAGCCCCATGTTTAGGATCATTCCTTTCTCGCTGCGTCTGTAATATTCCATGCCCTGTTTGAGGTGGGGGCTTCTCAGGCATCTGCCCAGCACATGCGCTGCTGTGCGACAGGTGCTCGTACACGACTGCGGGATAAATGAGGCATCCGTTACTGAGCACCTACTGTATATGCTAGGTAGGCCCTGTTCTAAGTGCTGTCCCCACATGCAGTACTCAGCTCCCAGTTGGGGAAGACCACCAGAAATTATAATTAGTTGTACTAATTATTCCCTAGGCTGACAGTGGGGAACAGGGCTATGGAAGGAGAAGGATTTATATGGGAGTAAGTTTCAGAATTTCCTAATATCTGAGCAGGGAATGTGTGAGGAAAGGTGGGTTTGACTGAGGTGGGGATGTGGCCAAGGGGCTATCGGGGGGAGAGGCGTCCCAGGCAGAGGGAACAGTGTATGCCAAGGGCTTAGCTCGGAGTTGCATGTGTTTCCAAAGTAGGAAGAAGGCCAGCGTGGCTGTAGCAAGGTGCCCAAGCGGGGAGACAAGTCATCAATGGTTTGGGGAGGCAGATTATGGGGGGCCAGCCTTTCAAGACACTGGAGAGGCTTGGGCTTCACCCCCCAGGGGAGGTGGGCGCCAAAGCAGTGTTGAGCAGAGGAGGGGGTATGATCCAGTCACATTTCAACAGGATCCCTCTAGCTACCCGAATGGGCCAAATTCACTTTGTGGGACAATCTGCATTTCTGAGTCCTCCAGGTCTTGACCCGCCCCCCTCCTGCTCTCTGCCCAGATTTCTACCCACAGCCAAGACCACCCGGACCGGCCCTCCTCGCCCAGGTCCATCCCAGCGGTGTCCCATCCCATGACTCACGAGGACCAGGCCCTCGGCGATCCATTACAAAGGCCACGGTGACCGGAATGGTGAGGGCTTGGTTAGTCATGGGGCTGGAGAAGGTCAGGGCGGTGGACAGAGGCCCCTGACTGCCAGCTGTGGGATCCGAGATGCCGACTGTGTATGTGATGAAGCTGGGGAGCCCCAAAGACTTTTCCTTCTCAAAGGCCAGCACAGCTGGGGACCCTGATTTCACCTGGGAGAGACAATGCAGCTGGAGAGCGGCACCCCCACCCCCACTTCCGCCTGACATGCTGTGCTTCCTTCTGGGGCCCAGACGGTAGGGGTGGGGACCCTTCCCTGGTCCACCTTCCTAGGTAGGCGATGACGCCTGGGTACTTCTAAGTGACAGCATGAAATATGCAAAGTCAGGGAAGGAGCATACTGTCTACACTTGGGAGTGTTTTTAAGGAAAGGACAAATCAATATCATTGAATTCTAATCAAGTGCTCTTTAAAAAAATGCTAAACCAACATGAACTACCACCAAACGCCAACTTTCCAAGGCAGCAGCCTGGAGCTCTGTTAATGGCCGATCGCCAGCAGCTCAACCCCTGGGCTGGCGGACCCTCCATCAGCAGCAATGAATTCATCGCCGTCTCGCTTCAAGAACGTTCATCCACGTCCACGTTTGCTGCAGTGAGACCAGGGATACGGCAAACGGAGGAGCCAAAAACCCCTTTGCCACATCACCCCAGATCTCTTACCGGCCTGCTGGGCTGCGGGACCTAGGACATCGTTCACCCAGCATTCAGCAGACGGGTAAACTGAGGCCCAGGGCTAGGGACTCGTCCCCAGTTGCGCGGGCGTCGGTGATAAGTTAGGGATTACAGCGTTTCTTCCTCCCCCATGTCAGTGTACGTTCCTGCACTGACTTCATTCACTGAACATACTAAGTGTTCACTGAGCACATACTATGTGCTAGGTACGCTCTGTGCTGAGTACTGCCCTCGCATACCGAGCTCCTGGTTGGGGAAGTCCGGCAGCATTCCCAGTAACTAATTCAATGATACAAGCTCACAGATAATGGTATGGGGGAAAAGAAAAGGTTAAGGGTATTTACGTTTAAAAAATCTTTTTTTCACTTTTAAAGAGAGGTGGTCCACGACTTCCACCTTTCACCTCGTCTTCCCTGCTTTCCGGTCCTTTCCAAGGCCCCCGGCTCATGCATGGACGCCACTCACCTCCAGGTTCTCGAGAATCTCCACGGTACCAAAGACCTTGACCTCAGAGCTGGTGAAGTGGTTGCTCAAAAGGATTTCAGCCTGGTCAGTGTAAAGCCCTGGGCTGAAGGGCACCTCGGCACCAACATGCTCCCCAGAGATGTGGCTGCCGGGGATGGAGGCGGTGACCAGCAGCGCCGTCTTCTTCATGCTGAGGTGTTTCAGCTGCTTGTCCGTCAGCCTGTGCATCGTGACTGAGCAGAGGTACCGGCCTGTGGAGACAAGCAAGCTCTGAGTTGTCCCCTCTCCCACCCACGCCCGGACGCTGCACTTTATCCTTGCTCCTCTAACTGCAAAACTCCTATGCATCCTTCAGAGCCCAGGTGAGGTGTCACCTCCTCCAGGGACCTCCAGGAACGTCCCTCTTCAGCACCCCTGATCCAGCTTGGACACCCTTTCTGTGACCAGCACTCTCGCTCACTCCTCAGAATCCTCTGCTCGCCAGATCCCCACTGCACTGACGTTGCCTGGGGAAGGAACGTCTGGGCCAGCTCTGCATTTCAGGGCCTAGCCATCCTGGCTCTCAGGATGGGGGTGAGTAAATAATGAACGGATACCATGACCCAATGCTGAGCTACAGGCTGAGCTGGAGCGGACTCCCAGTATGGCCCGTGGCCCCAGATAACAGCAGAAAGTCCTGTGAAGGTGTGGATTGGGGCTACCTTGGTGCTTGTTGGAGCCTCCACGCCTGGCCCTGGGTAGATAAATGAGTTCAACGCATACTGTTGAGCAATGCCCTGGAAAGTACCTGGAACCCAGATGCCTGGGCTGGAGTCCCCTCTGTGCCCTTGCCAGCCAAGTGCCCCTGGGTGAGTCAGCCTCCTTGCTGACCTGGTTTTCTTGGATCAAGTGGGAATAACTTCACACCCCCTCATGGGGTCGCATTAGCCAATAAACGGCACGGGACCATCAAATGCCTGTTCTGTCCCTGCACTTGGGCCCCACACAGGTGCCCTGAGGACATACCTCCTGCACCTTAGGCAGCGGCCTGGGTGCTGACCCCGGGCCATGGCAAGCTGCAGGCTGGGCTTATTATGGTCTGGCGTCGTGCCCTCGCTAACTCCTCCTAATTAAGACCAGGCTGCATGTTCTTGGAAGGAACTGAAGAATGGTCCAAATGCTCATCGACAATCATTATCATAATAACACTGGGCAGCTCCTGTCGAGGACTCGATAGTGTATGTTGGGCACTGTGCTCAGCATATGGCAGGAACTATCCTACTGAACCCTCGAAGCACCCCACGTGGGCACCCCCCTTCTCAGACACTCTGCACCACGTGGCCGGCATGCCCGGGGCCAGGCAGTCACTCCAGCCCGTGGCGCGGGCATCACGGGCAGTGGAAGTTCTGTTCGGACACACCGTGGGGCCCTTGGCTAGTTAACAAGGAAGGGCCCTTCTGCCCAGCTCTCGCTTGCACCGCTCAGCTCTAAGGCATCATCCTTCCCATTTCACAGAGGGAGGCAGCCTTAACACCCACTGGCCCTGAGGTAGGAAAAGCAGAAAGGGACCTAACCGCGGGCTTTCCAACTCTGAAATGTGTCCTGCCTGCTGCGTGTAGGTGGGTGCCGAGGACAGCCATCGCCCAGCATTGGACCACCAACCCCTCCCGGCGGCCGAAATGAATGACAGGCCAGAGTGGTGGCATCGGCCGCCAGGCTGGGCTCCTGATAGACATGGCCCTTCCGGACAGATGGCTGCCGTGAGCCTGGCACGCCAACAGGAACCCTCCATGCAAGCCAGTCGTCCCATGCAAACCCTTGCAAACATACCCAGGGTGGCGTCAAATCCTGGTTCTGCCGTGAAAACGTCACGTGCTGGGAAATCGAAGACATCTTGCTTGAACTGGAGGTGGCAGCTAATGAGGGATTCTGGGTGCAGAGTCTCAATGGTTTCCATCTGGGAGGGAGAGCACTCACCTGGAGAGGGGAAGGGGTGAGAAGGGCATGGGCCAGACCTACTAGGCGCCCCACCCCGGCCCCCCTGCACAGGCTTCTGTATCCGTCTGTTAGAGCCCCGAAACGAGGGAGCAAGAGCAGGCCAGGTGCAGGCTAGCCGGGCGGCGAAACGCCCCACATTCCTTCCACACAGGGCCCCCCGAGGGCTGCCCAAAGCTTCGTGACAGCACCACAGTTTATAAGAGCTGGGGAGAATTCTATGGGGGAGGAGGGTCATTCCGAATCATGGGCAATTTCAGATCAGAATTTCAGCATTTGGGCTACAGAGCCTGCGTCCCGCAGCACAGCAGATGGGTCGGGCCCACTAATGCACATCGTCTGTTCCTGTCGGCAGGGGGAAAATGGGCAATTTATTTCTGGACTTCAGGAGGGCAACAGTTTCCCACTAATACACTGAGTATCATCTCGGCAATTGTGCAGTATTGGCCCCGTGCCCTGAAGTAGGAAAAAAGAGGTTATATGATGCAGAAAAGCTACCTCATCAATCAGAACAAGAACAGTGGTATTTAATTCCACTGGGTACATGGTTTAAAAAAAAACAAAAACAAAAAAAACCAAACCAGCCCACATCGATGTATTTATTTCTGGCAGTTGCTGTCCAGGGCTGTCACGGGCAGGGCCAGGGTCGGATGTTCTACGCATGACTTGGAAAAGGTAATTACAAAAATCAAAATCGGCCGCGAGGCCTGCTAAATCATTACTTTCTTGGGATTACCGGCAGTCAGCTGGGGCTTTCTTTACTCGGCTGCCCTGAGGCTGAAGTGGCACTTCCAGCTCAGACACAGGCAGCTTCTGGGTGCCGGGCTCTTTTAGAAAGAACACTCGGGTTTCGAAAAAGCTGGAAGGAATGGGCCAGCAGGGGTTAAATGCTCTCTCTGCCTTTGGCGTGACTTTAAGCAGGGAATCTCCTCCCTGCTCGTGCGACGGGCGGGGCCCCTCCCCAGACCAAGCAAGCCCCTCACTCTTTACCTCTCAGGTTAGAGCCTCTGTCTCCCAAGGTGACGGTCACTTTGGAGGCCTCCTGGAAGCTGGTCTGGCCTGGGCGGACGGAATGGGCCACGATCCTTTGAGGGACACCGATCGCTATCTGGGGAGGGAGCCGAGGCAGCTGCACTGAGCACCGACCACGTGTGGGCTCAGTGACGGGCATTTTTGTGACCTCACCCCATTGCCTGGGATGCAGGCACTGCCCATTGCACAGGGGACAAAACTGAGGCTCCACGTCTTTTTGAGACTTGGCCAGATGTGGCAGAGCTGGGCTTAGACCCCAGGCCGGTCAGACTCTGCCTCCCTCTGAACGAGCTGCTTTTCCTAACAGTGGAGTGCGGTGCTGAACAGCAGGTCTGAATGCATTCAGTCTGGGGTGGGCTGTGGGGTTTGGCTCCTGGGACAGCGGCAGATCACTTCTCTGTTCATCAGTTTGCTTAATTAGTCTTTCAGCAATGAGAGAAGGAGCCATTTTACTTTACTGTCATTTATTCAAAATAAATCAACCTGACCAAAAGGCAACTCACATAGCCTGGGTACTGAACGCCCCTCCAGACTCCAGTCTTCCCAGACTTTCCCCTGCTCACCCCCCTTGGCCCAGCCTGCACTGGCTGCACCCAAACACCCCAGTCGTGCGCCCCTCTTAAGCTGGGATCACCCTCCCCCCTCCCCCCGCAGAGCCTGACCCCATCGGCCCTCGCAGGCCCAGCTCCAGCATGGTCCCCTCCAGCCGGCAGGCTGTCCTCCCACCTCTGGGCAGGCGCTGAGCACTTCCTGCCTCCCACAGGATTTCTAGCGAACGTGATCTCGTAAAGAGCAGGGATGGGGTCTCACTCCTCCCCAAAGCCCAGGCAGCTCCTGTGGCTGACACAAGAGCACAGGCAGGCCGTCAGGCTGGGCCCATCACCTCCACGCTCACTGGTGGGCACCCACATCCGGGCCCTGGTTCTTCCCACCTTCTCCTGTACTCCTGGCTGCCTGCCTGCCATCTTGTCCCTGCTTCCTCTGCCTCCTCCCCCCACACCTGGCAGAGGGGGCCCAAGGCCTTGCTCTGGTATGTGCTGCATGTATGTGCACCCGTCCACTCTCAGGTCTTCCAGAACCATGTCTGTGCTGTGGACTCCCACCCCATCTCCAGCTTGCTGTCTTGGAGCTCCAGGAACACCTGCTGCCTCATCACCGGCCTCACCTAGAGGAGCTGCAAACGCCTCCAACTGGCCACGCCTCCATCCACTCATCATCTTTCCCCAGCACTGGCCCCTCCTTCTGCAACCCCCTACCGCCATCAGGGCAAAGGACCGACATCCACCTTGTCACTCAGTCCGGACGCTGGGGAGGTCATCCCCCAAAGGGTTCTCCCTCAACCCCTACTTCCAAATGGTCACCAAGCTCTGATGACCCTCCCTTAGTTTCTGCCCACCCCACAGGGCCAGCAGAGTGCCCATCCTGTCTCCTGGCTCACTACCCCTGCAGCTACTCCCCATCTCTTGGGCTCTTAGACTCCACCAGGCACTGGATACTCATCCCAAACATTACCTCTGATTGTGAGCACTCTTTACTTAAAAAAAAAAAAAAAAAAAAAAAAAAAAAAAATTCTGACAGGGATGCCTGGGTGGCTGAGTCAGTTAAGCGTCCGACTTTGGCTCAGGTCATGATCTCACAGTTCCTGGGTTCAAGCCCTGCATCGGGCCCCGTGCTAACAGCTCAGAGCCTAGAGCCTGTTTCAGATTCTGTGTCACCCCCTCTCTCTGTCCCTCCCTCCAAATAAATAAACATTAAAAATTTTTTTACAAAATTAAAAAAAAATTAAAAAAAAAAAAAAAAACAAAACCAAAAATCCTGATAAATCCCTACTGGGTCTGGCATAAGCTTCTCCTCTTTGCTCCGGAATAGTAACAGGTGCAGCTAATACCTACTGAACATTTGCTAGGTGCTGAGTACCATTCTAAGTGCTTCACATAGGTTAACTCTTAATCCTCTTGGCCCTCTTACCTCCATTTTACAGACACAGAGAGGTGAAATAACTTATCCAATGCCACACAGCCTCTCAGTGGCCTGGCTGGGATTTGAACCCAGGCAGCCTGGCCCCAGAGCTCACGTGCTTCACCAGGAACTACCCAGAACACAATGTGCATCACACGATCTGACTGCAATGCCAGCCTCCACACTCCCCCAATGCCTATGTTCCAGCCATCGGGGCTCGACTCTTGAGCCCTGCACACTTTTGCCTACGCCGTGCCCTCTCCTCCAGCCCCCCTCCCACCCGGCCCTGCCCACTCTCAGCGGCTCCTCCTGGGAGAGCACAGCTTTATTAGTCACAAGGTGCCTCTATCTGCAACCCGCTCACCCACTGCAGAGCCCCGGCACTAAATATGCAAGCTATTAGGTTAAACTGCTGGATTCGATCACGTGCACACTGGCTCTAAAATGAGACACGTTTGGAATGCAGCCAGACGCTGCTCACTGATTCATTCTCGGCTGGAGATAAATAGAAGAGAGAACGGTTTTGTTCACCTCCAGAAAGACTCAAAAAGTGACTTGCCGGGGAGGCTTAACTTTGCCGGTGATGCCAAATGGCCACGCCGGCCCGCCCACCCCGAGACTCCTGGGGAAGCGCCCACAGGGGACACTCCCGCCCTTACGCCAGCGTGTGTGGGAGCTGGGGGGGTGGCCCCGGGAGGTCAGCCCTTGTCATGACACCATTTTGAGCGTGGGAGGCAGGGGCCTGGAAAGGAAAGGGCACCTGTTCCAATCCCGGAGGAAGTGGGGAGCAGACCCCAGACTCACGACTCCGGATCCTGACTGCCTAGCAGGGTGCTGGTGCTTCTTTTTTTTAAAGGGAAGGGTGCCATTCAGGATAGAAAGCCGAGGCTTTTACCCCAAGAGGGTGAGCCACGTATGCCCCGAAGCCCTACCTCCTTGTAGGTTCTCAGGTGCCCAGCAATCTCGTAGTAAACCGTCACAGATCCCGCCTCTTGGGCCACAGCCACGCCCGTCCTGGGGTCGATGCGGAGGATGCTGTGAGCTGAAGAGCTCCAGGTTCCGGAGAGGCCTGGGAGAGAAAGCCCTGGCTGTCACTCATCTTTCCCACGTCTGCCATTCCCGCTCAGCCCTGTCACCTGGGTGACACTGCCCCACCACCATGCTCCACCCTGCTCCCGGGGGTGCTCACTCATCACCCTCAGGGTAGAATCCATGCCACTAGCCTCTGCACCCTGGCACTGGCCCCCGCCCCCCACCTCCCCTGGCTCCTGGCTGCAGCCACCTGGAGCACACCTGCTCTCTGCCCGGCTGTGACCCTGCCCAGAGTGAACCTCTGGCCCTATGTTCACTCCAGTGCTTCCCTGCTTGGAATCTCTTGATCACTTCCTTGTCCTGGGATGAACCGGGTGCTGAAGCTCCCCACGCACCACCCCTGCCCACCCCCGACTGTTTATCAACCCCTTTGGGCAAACAAAGCAAGTGTCAGGTTCAAGAGCGTTTCTCAGTTAAAAGCCAATTGCATTATATAACAGATACAACAAAATAACTCAACAGCCACGTTCTATTTCTGGCAAATTGTATTTGCTTTCTTTTAAGGGCAGTGTTGAACGTCTTTTTGAAATGAATTTAATTAGGTAAAAAAAAAAAAACAGGGAGTCAAATTGAAAAAAGAAGTTGAGTAACGTAGGTGGTGAATCTACAGGTGGCATGGGAACAGGCCCGATAGCTGTTCTCTCCTTACATTTCCTTCTGGATGTGGGCTGTTGGCGATACATGGTAACCACTAGCCACGAGATGAATTAAAATGAAACACATAGCTCCTCGGTTGCATTAGCCACATTTAGAATACTGGATCGTGAGTGCCCCGTGTCACACAGTGTAGATATGGGATGTTTCCACAGTGCTAGAAACTTCTAGCGGACAGGGCTATACGAGCGCACGGGTTGGCCAGCTTCCTCCACAAAGGGCCAGATGGCACATCTGTTGGGCCGTGCGGGCCCAGAGGTCTCTGATGCCAGCGCTCAAACCCGGCAGCTGGAGGGTAAAACCGGCCCCTGACAACATGTAAATGAGGGTGTGCCAGAGTTCCCAGGCACCTGCGTTTGCAAAAAGAGACAGCATGCTGGATTTGGCCGGTGGTTTTCTGACTCCTGCTCTTGAACGTCATGCCAGCCCTGCTTGTCTCACCCCCACGACAGGAGCCCCCTCCCATCTTTGGGGCTGCCCCGGACTCAAAAGGAAGCCCCCCACACCGACCCCGGCCAGTATCTCTCTCTCTCTCTCTCTCTCTCTCTCTCTCTCTCTCTCTCACCTTCCAGGCCGACCAGAACTGTGGCCAGACAGAGGACGTCCCCTACCACCACCGCTCCGGACAGCTCCGGGGAGATGGCCTGTAGGACAGGCAACGGGACGAAGTCGGACAGGCCCACGTGCTCCGTGTCCCGCACGCTGAGCAGCGTCAGGCCCACGCTGATGGTCCGGACGATGCAGGTGTTGTTGGCGACGCCCTTCCCAATCTGCACGAACTCGTCTCTAGGCACAGGAGGGGGATGCAGGCTCTCAGTCTCAGGAAAGAGCCCCCAACTCCGGAGGGAGAAACGTAGTTGAGTCCTCTGCTGGGCGAAGCTTCTTGCTAACGGTGGCCCCAGGGCGTCCCTCTAGCTTAAGTTTACCAAGCAGCTGCCCAAACTTGGTCTCATCTCATCTCCCCCGGGGAGGAGCCCATGGCCCACAGCACATGCCCCACATCCCAGGAGGGAAAGCTGAGGTCAGAGGGCAAGGCGAGCTTCGAGATGCTTGCTGGTCCCTTCCCAACAGGGAACAAGGACATTCTCAGGAGGCATGGCCTCTGCCCACTTCCTCATGGGTAGCTATAAAGCACCGAGACCAGTGTCTGGCACAGTGAGTGCTTGGTCAACACCAGCCAATGTCGCTCTGGTGGAAAGGCCCAGACCGGCAGGTCTGAGGAGTAGGGTCTCTGGCTTCGTCTCCTCCTCCACGCCGACTCTCTTCAGAGCTCCCGCTGGTCTCTAGGAGAGAGGCTCAAGGGCCGGCGGGACTTCTGTGGGGTAGCTGAGGGGCTGGGAGGAGCTGGCTCCATTTCCTCCAGGGTGGCCTAGATCCCAGACTCATGGATGGCCCATACAACGTGCAAAGAGCTCCACACTTTGCCAGACGCCTTCACGACTATGGCTTCAGCTGCTGGCCCCGAGGACTAGGCATGTTCCCCGCAGGTGTGGAAACAGAGGCCTGGAGAGGTGAGCCACCTTGTTTGGGAAGGCGCCACAAAGGCCAGAGCTAGGGCTTGAACGGGCTCCAACTCCAAGCCCCAGTTCCCCCACCATGCTAAGCGCCCCCTACACCTGGCCCTGGGCGTGCTAAGCAGGCCTGTGAGGAGGCCAAGTTGCAATGGTCACCCACACCTGGATACAATCTTCTGCCCCCCATAGGTCCTAGAACCCCTGCCCAAGCCGTCCTTCCTATGCCTGATGCTTCTCTCTCCTCCTCTGAGCTAGTCTGCATGCCCCCGGGGCAGTAGTTCTCAACCTTTAGAATCGCCTGGAGGTCTAATTAAAACAGACTGATGGTGGGGCCCCTGGGTGGCTCAGTGGGTTAAGCATCCCACTTCAGCTCAGGTCATGATCTCGCGGTTTGTGAGTTTGAGCCCAGCGTCGGGCTCTGTGCTGACAGCCCGGAGCCTGGAGCCTGCTTCGGATTCTGTGTCCCCCTCTCTCTGCCCCTCCGCACTCACGCTCTGTCTCTCAAAAATAAACATTAAAAAGAAACCCCAGGTTGTTGGGGTATTTACAGGGCCAGCCAAAATGAACCGCATGTGGAGCCTGGTGTTCAAACCCCGCGTGACCCTGAGCAAGTGGCTTGACCTCTCTGGGCCTCTACAAACAGGTGGCAGTGAGGAGTCAGCAAGACGTCACGTGGAAAGGCCAGTACACCCACAAGGGGATGCAGTGAAGGTCAGACCCCTTCCTCGCCGGCACCAGAGCATTGGAATGTGTGTGCCTTGCTCTGACCAACTTTTATAACATCTGTGATCACTGATTTGCATCTGCTGATCACAGGGCCAGTGCAATGGCCAGGGTGGCTATGTCTCCCCTGCAGTTCGGCTTTCACGGGTACACCAAAGTTTATCACAAACCCCAACACCTGTGTCTCGCTTCCGGCCCGCCACGGGCCATCGCCAACAGCTTCCCGCCACGCGGTGGTACAGGCTCTGTGGCCTGCCTTCCCCTCACCACTGCCTCCCGCCCAAGCCCAGTGCTCCCCCTGTGGTCCCGCAAGCACGACACGCTCCCTCCTCAAGACTGAAGGGAACAAAGCTCCCTTCCTGTGGCACAGAGGGTCTAGTGGACTCAGCCGCCCCCATACATCAAATCCAAGTACAACTGACACACATCTTCACGGGGGAGATGAGCATCACCCACACCCTACCTGTTAGTCGCAAAGCTGAGGACCGAATTGTGAGCATGGAAGGTGTCTCCGGAGTTATCGTGGAAGTGGACGGTGAAGGTCACGGTCATTCCCAAAGGCAGGGCTGCCAGAGCCTCCTTGTTCTGGGTGTGCAGGGCGGGGCTCATGGAGAGCCTCAGGTAAGACACAGGAGATACCTGGGGACAGTGAGCAGGTGTGGTGATGACTGCCCTGGGGACCAGCCTCCCAGGGAGGAGTCACTTGCCCCCAGTGGGACCCGCCTCGGGAGGGATCGGGAGGCTGATCGACTCAGGGGTCACGGAAAGAGAAAAGGCCCTGGTCTGCTAAGCGTCCCAACCTAGCGACAAGAATCCCACCTTTCCACACAGTGGGCTGGCCTCACTACAAGAAAACCCCCCAATCTACAAGAGTCAAAACCCCTGACTTTGAAAAATTAGATCGTTATTCACATTGGCAAAAATTTCCCCTGGGCTTTCGATGTTCAGTTTCCTTCGAAAACCAGGCTCTTTGGGTGTTTCAAGTGGAAGTAATGCCCACTTGGACGGCAGAGGAAGTATTAACCAGGAGCCACAACGTGCTGGCAGGTGCTCCAGGGAAAGAATCCCAGGGCCCAGAAACCCGAGCTCCAGGGAGAGCGGCCCTGGCCCTCCAACTCCGGGTAAAATCTATCCTGGCCAGAAAGTTAGCTCCGCTCAGAAGACCCAATTTCTTGGATAAAGATCGGCGGGTGCAGGGACCTCTACTCAGCTGGTGCTCACTACATAGTTGCTGAGGTAGGATGAGAAGGAAGCTGCTTTCACCGACTCAAAAACCAGGCTGAAGGTTCCCTGCCAGGCATTAATTACGGAAACAAAAAGACATTATTAAGGAAACAGATCTGTGACCATGGGAAAATCTCGAATGTGAAGTCATGTATCTTGTCTGTCACCCAGGATTCAGAAAGTGGCTATGACGAGATAGTGGAAGGAAATTCCGGGGACCCGACCCGAGGATGCTCGAGGAGGAGAAAGTTCCCGTCACCACAGAGCACGGAGGGCAGAGGGACATGGGAAGCGCCGTGATGTGGCCAGATGACACAACCTGAGCCCGGCTGACCAGACCCTGACTCTCCACCACTGAAGTGACTCACTGAGCGAGTCATTTCCATGGTGAGTCCCGGTGTCCTTGCCTGTAAAATGGGTCACTAAACTGTACATGCTGCCACATGTATAATGCAACCATTTCTGTGTCAGGTGCCCAGCACATGCAGTCAATGTGCATAGGCACCTATCATGGTCCGGGTGCCGGCTGCCCAGTCAGGACATGGGTGCTGGTCCCAGCAAATCATGGGCCTCGCTGGGCCTCAGTTTCCCCATCTATGAAATGAGGCCACTGCAATCGATCTCCAAGGATCTTCCGCTCTGACATCTAGAAGATGCTAGAACTTTTCAGCTAGGACCTGTGCCCCCAAGTTATTCTTCAATAAATTCTTACCTACAATTTCTCAGCTGGAAAGTGATAGATCTATTTTATACCTGCGAGAGGAGATTTTTTTTTTTTTTTTTTTTTAACCTCGACACGATTGCTTTCATTACTCCAAAAAGCAGGAAAGCATGATCCTACCTTTACAGCAAAGAGGATGGTCTGGTTGGCCCCAAAAGGCTCTTGGGCAGTCACTTGGATTGTGGACATCCCAATCACGGACCCTGACGTCAGGCAGCCTTTCTCGTCAACATGCACGACAGGAACCTTCTCCGGCCCGTCCAGGACGCGGTAGCTCAGAGATGCTGCTCCGTCCCTTTGGAAAAAAAACCAGACTTGGTTTTTCAGAGTGTGGGTGCGGGTCGCAGCAAGGGGCCCGAAATCCCTGCCCTGAGATCCAGCCATCTGGGCTTCCCGATGGCTCCTGGGAGAAGGAAAAGGCCTGATCTTAGCCTCACTGTGCATTAGGACCTGGGTGCTCAGCTCAACTTCAGCCTCATCAGTCACCCACGGGAAACTTAATTTGCAAAACCGACGGTTCCAAAGAGGGCGCTGCTTCTGGGAGAAGAGGCTGAGGCCTGAGCTCTCATCAGCTGCATGGGACATATGCTGTCAAAGATCGTTTCTGGGGCAAACCTCCCCATTTGCTGCCATAAGGCAGCCTGGCACAGTGAAAGACCATCGTCAGGCAGAAGCTGAGTGCAGTCCCAATGCCCCGCAAACAGCTGCGTGCCTCCTCTCTTGGCCTCGGTCTCCCCAGCTGTGAAAGGGAAGCAACGGTGTTGCCCTGTCCTGTTTCCAAGGGCAGGGAACGGGATGAAAATGGGCTGCTGGCTCAGAAAGTGGTTTGGGCTGGGTGGGAGACACACCTCACAGTGTTTCATACTCCCTTTCAGGCTTATTGCAGAACAAAGAAACAGCAGGGAGCAAAGGTGTTCAGCCCCCAGGGCCTGCCCCCCTCCCCGTGCTCTTTGCGTGCAGCCCTACAGACCCTCCTCAGATGACCTCAAAGTAAATGTTATTGCTTCTGCTTCAACTTTCTCCCCCATCAGTAACCCCTTGCTGGGAACCTGCAGAACTCCTCTTCATCCTTTAATAGCTCAAGCCTCGCTATCTCAGACAGGCCTCCCCTAAATCCTCGCACAGAAGGCCCTTCTTTGGGCCTTGGCTTAACCGTTATACCTTGTTTCGTTGTCCCCTTCTCGTGCCGTACTTCTCGCTTCCCCACCAGCACGTCATGCACCTGTTCCAAGAGCCTAGCACACAGCCTGGCATCTAGACGCTTGTGCACGAATGACCACCACATGTGTGCATTCCACGGAACACGCGAGCACTCCTGTGGTCCTTACGGCCCCTCCTCCACCGTGCAACTGTAGGTCACGTGCAAGTCATTGCCACCAAAGGCGCCCCACTTGAATGCAAGGTGGGAATGACATTTGCAGACGTGTTTTACACCTGTGCCTTGTAGACAACGATGTGCATCCCCATCAAGTGGGGGTCTTGTTACGTGCAGGTCTGGGGTGGGGCCCGGGGTCTGCATTTTAACCGGCTCCCAGGTGATGCCCATGCTGCTGGGTCAGGAATTATTCACACTGAACAGCAAGCCTTGAAGACAAAGGGGCATTTGAAAATTTAACTCTTCCAAGGTAGCATTTCTTTCCCTTTAAGGTAGCGGGTTTGAGCAGTGGGCATTAAAACCTTTCCAGGCTACGGGGAAGATAAGAAGGACCCTTGGGAACACGTGATGCGGAGCAGCAGAAGACGACATCCATGGCGGAGAGAGGGGGGAATGCAGAAGCCGCACCCACTTCAAGCCCAGGAAGATGCCGTTCGCTTGAAGCACCCGCGGCTCCTGACAACTTTGACAAATGAGCCGTTGGATGCCGAGCGCAGCGTCTCAGCCCAGCTGCAAACAAGCGCTGAGTCACGTACCTGTTTGTCTGAAGCTTTATAAACGAGTTGGGCGACATTAATATTTGCTCTGCTTCTATTTCAGGGCTCAGCAGCAGCAGCTTTTCGAATACCTAGAATGGAGGGAGTTTTGTTTCCTGTCATGCTACTGGAGTCACGGCCAGGCACCAGCTCCCCTCCAGGGAGGGAGACCAACGGGGTGGAGACAGGAGGATCACTGTTGCCAGCACCTGTCAGGTGGCTGGGGATGGGACGGGGAGGGCTGACTTTTAAGAGAGGCCCCGACGGCATCTGCTTCACGGAGCCAGGAAGCACGGGCCCCTCCCCAGATTCCCGGTGGTGGGGACATCTCTCTGGGCACAGAAGGCAGCGTACAGAGTTACAGGACCCAGGGTCTTGCTCAGCTGCTCCTCAGTGTGACCATCTCAGAATAACCCCCATCTCACTCCCTCCTGCCACGCTCCCGCGGGATCCGCACAGTGTGGGTACGGGGCATGTTGGCGAACCAGGGCAGATGATAAACGTGGTAATGTCCGAGGAGCCCCGGGGCCCTCGACGGCTCCCCAGCCCATGGTTGCTGCACTTATGGTAACTCCAGACCCCTCCCTACATGCACCCTAACTGCCCACCACCCTTCCAAGTCCCTTTCTCCAGGAACCCTTGGAAGGACCTTCCTTGGCATCCAGGTCTGGATGCTGAGCACAGCTCTGAGCTCCCCACTGGCTTCTGATCTGATCAGACTGGCTGGATCCCAAGGGCTCGGTTTTCCGAGAAAACTCCCTCCCTCCCAGCACTGCTATGTTCTGATCGGATATGCAAGTCTAGATTTCTTCATCTGTAAAATGGGTCTAAAACTAATAATCCTTGCCATGTCTGTCTCAAAGAGCCGCAGGATTCTAGTAGCAATGTGCGTGGCAGCACTTCCGAAATGGTGAATGATAAACGACCTTGGGAGCTAGATGGGGTTCTGGCATCAGGGGAGTCCTTGCACTAGGCAGGTGGCACCCAGGGTGGAGCAGCCTGATTTTGACTCGGATGCATGCACTGCACAGGAAGTACACGCAAAAATGTCTCCTCCTGCTTCCTAATCGTCTTAAATGCACATTCTTTTTTTTTTTTTTTTAATTTTTTTTTTTCAACGTTTATTTATTTTTGGGACAGAGAGAGACAGAGCATGAACGGGGGAGGGGCAGAGAGAGAGGGAGACACAGAATCGGAAACAGGCTCCAGGCTCTGAGCCATCAGCCCAGAGCCTGACGCGGGGCTCGAACTCACGGACCGCGAGATCGTGACCTGGTTGAAGTGGGACGCTTAACCGACTGCGCCACCCAGGCGCCCCTTAAATGCACATTCTTTATTGTCCCTCTTTGTTTTATTTTTTTTAATGTTTATTTATTTTTCAGGGAAAGACAGAGAGGGACAAAGCATGAGCAGGGGAGGGGCAGAGAGAGAGGGAGACAGAATCCGAAGCAGGCTCCAGGCTCCGAGCTGTCGGCACAGAGCCCGGACGCAGGGCTTGAACTCACGAACTGCAAGATCATGACCTGAGCCGAAGTCAGATGCTTAAGTGACTGAGCCACCCAGGCGCCCCTATTGTCCCTCTTTAGAGGTAAATCAAGGTGCAAGAGAGATCTTACTTTCCTGTTAACTCAAGTTTAAGAAAAGGAATAATGCAAGCACCAGGGTCAATGGCAACTGACAGGTGGTCTCACCATCGGGGAGAAGAGGGGGGCAATGGGGCCAGGAGGGGCTGCTTCCCATCTCCTGCTGATTTTGGCACATGTGGAAAAATGCCATGTATCTTCAGGACAAGCTGCCTATTGGATTTTTATACATCTTCCTATTTTTAAATGTTCGCAACAAATAAAAATGGTTTCGGAGCACAGAATGAGCCAAATCAAATACATCTGTGGGCTGGATCCAGCATCGCCAAGTCTCTGACATACCCAAACCTCCAACTGCTATCAGCTAGGGAAACTGAGGCACAAAGATGCTCAGGGACTCATGCAAGGTCACAGAATTCGAAGGCTGCAAAGCCCCGTCTTTATCCAATGAGAAGGTGCCAGACATGCTTTCATTTTTAATTGGGAAGAACATGTATTTGCACGTGTCTGTGTTTGTATTTATCTGTGTATACATATGTGTCTGTGTCTCTGCATGCGTATGTATGTTACGTGTCTGTGTGTGTTTGTGTCTGTGTGTGTGTGCATGCACACATGTGCAGCCCGAGGTGAGGGGGGTTGGTAAATGACAGTTTCTTTCTTTGAAAATCTTTACCCCTGACTAGGTAGGCGCCTAGGTTAGAAAATGCTTTATTTCTTCTTGAAGAGGGGACCTGATCTGTTTCTTTTCTCACGTTCAGGAGCTGCTTTCAATTTTTTCTTGCAATTTTTTTTAACGTTTATTTTTGAGAGAGAGAGAGAGAGAGACAGAGCCTGAGTGGGAGAGGGCAGACAGAGAGGGAGACACAGAATCCGAAGCAGGCTCCAGGCTCTGGGCTGTTAGCTCAGAGCCTGACGCGGGGCTTGAACCCACAAACCGTGAGATCATGACCTGAGCTGAAGTCGGTTGCTTAACCCACTGAGCCACCCAGGCACCCCCAATTTTTCTTTGCCATTTAAGGCATCCCAGAGGTTATTGGGTCCCAGATCCTTAGTTTCACTGAGGGGCCCTGACAGTCAGGGGAGGGAGGAGGGCAGACTGGAGAGAGAGACCCAGGCACTGAGGCCTGGGCGGGAGAAAAACTGCTGGGCTCCTGGTCCTGACTCAGTGGGGCTCCTCGGGGTCTTGGAGCAGGCCCCCTCCCTCTCTGAGGCTCGGTTTCCATCTGTGAATCGATGGGTCACACCGTCTCCCAGGCCGTACACACAGCACAGCCCTCCAGGCCTTTCAGGACCCACCACCCACTCACTGCAACCTGGGGGCACACTCTGACCCCTCCCCGCTAAGGCCTCGGGCTCATCATCAAGCAGCAACGCCCACAGCGCCTGCCCCACAGGCTTCGGGAGGCACTTCACGGGTGAGGCAACACTGGGGACTGGGGAATGGCAAGTCCGCCTCTGGTAAGTGGTCTGTGAGTGTTTCCGAAATAAACACAGACAATTCAATTAATGCCCCACTCAGACAGTTCTCCGGCTTCTTTCTACCATGAAGGTGCCTCAGACACCCAGCTCAGGATTACCCGCTCTTTGGGGAATACATCAAGCTATTTCGGACCTCCTGGCCTGCCAGCCACCCGCCCCCACCCTATGCCCTCAGGCAGCCCCATCTCCGGGCTCCCCCGCAGCCCGAGAACTCCTCAGGTGTGGGGTGGCAGAAGGGCTGATGTGCCCCCGAATGGTCCCCGGGGGGAGAGGCCGCTGGGTTGGCACCTCCTCTCCCTCTGACGGTGGCTTCTGCCCACCTGTCCTTTACCTGGATTTGGATCTCGTCAGTGAGCTCTTTGGCGAGGCCGTGCAGCTGTCCAGCAGCGGGGTCCAGAGCCTTGACCACCACCCTCAGCCCGGTCCGGCCTTTCACCCGGCCATGCACGTTCATGGCAAAGTTGTACTGTGACGGGAGCCGGAGCGAAGCCTGGGATGGACACCAAACAGGTTCTCAGGGAGGGCCAGGGGCTCCAGTCCCCCCGACATCCACCTGCCTGTTCTCAAAGGCCGTCGCCTCACCGCTCCAGCCAGGGCCCGCTAACCCATCACTGGTGCAGGAGGCGGAGTTTCACGAGGTTCATGGGTGCATGTGGGGGATGTTGGGCCAACCCAGGTGGGCGGAGCTTCTCAGAGCCCTTAGCGTGTGGGGTGGGTGATGAACTGAGAGGTATTTGCTAGACCTGGCAGTTTTCCACGAAGGGACCCTCTATTCTGGGATGTCCGTGTTATGGGAACAGTCTGAGGAAGCCCCTGGCACTGGAGACAGGACCCTCCCCACGATGCACAGACAAGGCAAGAAGAAACCTCTCAAAACCACCCCACCGTCGAGTCCTGCATAACCCGGGAGGGCAGACTAGAGTCACCAGGGCTGGAACCTGGTCCCATTGTCCCATTTCCCCACTGGCTCGCTGGGCCAGACAGGCATGTCCCTTCCGTATGGGCTCGTCAACACAACGAGGGGGTTATAACTACTCGTCCAGCTCTGAGGTCTGAGGAGAGGCCAGGGTCACTCTAAGAAGGGCTAAGGGGAGGCGGGTTTGCCCTCTGGGGTAAATCTGGAAAAAGCCCCAGGGCTGTGAGGCATGGCCTCAGAAAGAAGGTCAGAAGTACAGACTAGGGGCCCTGACTAAGACCCTGTGACGGCCTGGAACTTTTGTGACTTCTCCACAAGGCTGCCTTCTGAAGCGGGTTACCTGCGACGCCCCTCTCTGGCGCCTAGCAAGAACGTGCTTAAAGTGGAAAGGGTTGCAGGCAGTCCAGGACTGGGAAGGAGGGAGAGCTAGGAGCCCATATTCCTGGTCACGAGAGGACTGGGAACGGAGGCAGGTCACTGGGGGTGGGGGGTGGACAGTATCTGGGAGAAGGTGTCCCAACGAGCCCTGAGAGAGAGCAGGGCAGGGCCAGGACCAGCCTGGGAGGGAGGGGGCAGAGCTCATGTGCAGAAACGTGGGGAGAACCCTCCCGGCTCCGGACGCCGGTGCACGCAGGGGGCAGGGGACTCTGGGGGGGGGGGGGGGGGGGGGGGGAGGTTACCTCCTGGTGCCGCCCCCGGATGTCCAGGATGTCCCGCTTGGTGACAGACCAGTGGAAGGTCAGGCCTGGCACGGCATTGCCAAAGGAGAAAGGGTTCTGGCTGTTGGTGATCCCAGTGATGTAAACAGGCATCTGCAGGAGAGAAGCCAGGCCCGTGACCAGCAGAGTCCCACCACCAAGAGTGCCCCCCCAAACCCTGGGGCACCTCCAGCAGCCCGGGCGCTTTCCTGTCTCCTTTGTGCAACGGGGGCCTTTCCTCCCTAACCAGAGAAGGGTCTGGCACAGGGGCGAGAAGCTCTGGTGAGATAGCAAATGAACAAACAAGAGACAGAGCCAGCCCCTCCGCACGCGGTCCTTCTTGAGCTGTGCACGGCGTCTCACCTTGGCTGACAGACCCCCTTGGTGACGTGGCCCCCTACAGCCCGAGGGGGCCTGCAGCCCCCCGGGCAGCCCAGCCCACGCCGCCCTGCCATCCGTGCCTCTGCTCCTCTCTCAATCTAGCAGGGGCTCCCTGCTCACGTGGAATGGGCACAGGTGGGGTTCACAGGCTCCCTCAACCCGTGCTTCCTGAGTGCCCACCAGGGGAGGCAATACCGCTAACGGGAAGAATGGACTCCATGCCAGGCCGCCTGGGTCAACTTCCAGTTCTGGCACTTACTAGCCATGCGACCTTGGGCAGAGGCCGTAAGCTTTCTAGGCTTTCATTTCCCCACCCATGACATAGAGACTGACACTGGGAGCCACCTCACGGCTTGTTGATGAGCGTCTAATGAGTCACCGCACAGAAAGCCCTGAGGTCCTGCTATCCAAGCGTTGGCTCCTGTTCCCTGCCAGGTGCTATTCCAGGTGTGGAAGGGTGACAGGCTCGGGGGAGGGAGACACAGGCATCACTCAGTAACTGTGCTGACACAGAACTGGAGAAGGGTAAATGCTATGCCCACGAGGGCTTTGCGCCGGGAGCGAGAACACACAGAATGCCTGCGAGGCCTAGAGCAGGAAACGGTAGGGCTCCTTCCTAAAGCTCAGTCTGACCCCAGAGATAAGCAGGGGTTGAGCAGGAGAGGAAACAGCGACCTAGCAGTGACTTCCACTCCCCGCAAGCTCAGCCTGAACCAGAACTCGGAGCCTGAGACCCGCCAGGGGGCTGCTCAGACAGCGACACTGGCAGCGGGTGTGGAGGGGTCCCCGTCTCACCTGGGTTCCCGTCCTCATCCGAGTGATGGGGGCACGGATCCTCACCGCCTGGAGAAGCAGCACCTCCACCTCCACGAGGTCCTAGGGAAAGGGCTTTGGGCTCAGGCTGGCTGGGGCAGGGGGTACTATCAGCCAACAACAGGTGTTTCACCAAGGGACCCCTCCAAACAGGGAGGCTCTTGCCAAGGCCAGCTTGGGAGCTGCGTGGCTGGAAGGTGCTCACGGATGTCCAGCACCACCCTCCTCTTCCCAAGGCAGCCTGGTTTTGTGGGTGGCTCACCCCACCCAGATCTGGCCACCATTCCTCCCGTTCCCTTGGGGCTCCCAGCCTTGTCCTCTGAGCCCGCAGACCTATTGGATGGAGTTGTTCCGGGTCAGCACCAGAGAGACGAGGGGGCGGTGACCGGACACTGTTCTTCTCTAGGTTGGGTGGCCCTCACAGGACAGGATTCCAGATGCTCCTGACCCTAAATCTAATGTGTTACTCTCTGTCAATGATCAGGGTATTGGGACAAATGCAGGATACAGATAGAGTCTGGTTAGAGCAGACTGTATACTCTCCTTCATTCTGAAGTCTATACTCTTGTTAATCTGGTCAAAGATTAACCTTATCAGGCTTCTTTATAGTGCTATTGACTCTGTTGAACCCAGGCTACCAAAACCCTTAAGCCTTTTCTATATACTGAGCCCACCCTGTGTCTTGTGATACGGGCTAATGCCTGGCATATAGTAGGTACTCAATAAACATCCATTCTCTTCCTTGCCTTTGTCCCTTTCACTGCCCAGTCTCCTTCTGCCAGTCCTGGCCCATGCTTTGGCCATGGGTGCTGATTCTATGATCTGGTTTAGACAGATGAACTGGGAGCTTCTGAGCAGAACCCCCTACACTTTGTGGACACGTGGGCCTCAGGCTGAACCACTGCCTGCCTGGGCTCTAGGAGATGGATTTCAGATGGAACTGCTGGCAAAGTCGCTCCACCTGCCCAGGGGTGCCAGACCCTCCCCCGGTTCCTCTCCCACCCCACCCGATGAGAGACACACGGAGAGAGAGGTGGCCCAGCAAGGTCAGACCACAAAGAGAAGTGGGACGCCTGGGTGGCTCAGTCAATTGAGCGTCTGACTCTTGGTTTCGGCTCGGGTCATGATCTCACGGTTGATGGGTTCAAGCCTCACATTGGGCTCCATACAGACAGTGGGGAGCCTGCTTGGGACTCTCTCTCTCTCTCTCTCTCTCTCTCTCTGCTCCTCCCCTCATTGCACACTTTATCTCTCAAAAAAAAAAAAAAAAAAAAAAAAATATTTAAAGAAAAGAGAAAGAGAAGTGGCTGGGAGGGAAATGCATGGCCGTCAGCTCCTCTGGCCACAGTTCCAGCCAGCTGCCATCTCAGCCACCTGGGCCCCCAGGGGGAGAAAAACAGGCTGGTTCCCGAAGCCCTAATCCTTTCTTCAGAAGAAAAGGAAAAAGAAAAAAAAAAAGGCAAGGCCTCGTTGGCCCTTCATCTTCTCCTCCAAGACGTCTATCTGAATCCCGCTGTATGCCACAGGGCAGATTTCACATTCCCAACGCTTTGTCTTTATAAAAATCAATAGGTACAATCAGGGCATCTACCTCCACGATGCAAAAGGACTTTGTGGCTTAACCGGTTACTTGCAGAGACACTGAAACTCCGGCAAACAGGAATAAATCAATGAACTCAATGTCAGATCAAAGTCAGCTGCAGGGAAGAAGGGCACATCTCCAGGGCAGTGCACAGAACCAGCTCCCCTGGGTGCCCTGTGTTCAGATGCTATGAGCTCATGGGAGCTCATGGACTCCTTCCAGGGGGCCCTGAATGCTGGACAAGGAGCAGGGTGACAGGGTTCTGAAAAGGCTGTCCACAGTCACGTTACACAAAACAATGCTCTTCTTAGAGCCCAGATTTCTGGCACGGTCACGTCCATGCTGCAGTCTCCCCTGAGACGCTTCCACAGGGCACCGTCAGGGAGAATCCAAGCACTCTGAGCCCTGCTCAGGAAGTGGAAACCATCCCCCGTCTCCCTTTCGGACCCTGGTGAGGTCTCTACCCCCTGGGAAACAAGGGGAACTATCGGACTTAGAAACCGACTTTCACCTGCCTAGTGTCAGCGCCACTAATGAGGGGCAGGAAGACCCTCCTGGGGGGAGGACTCCCCTAGCTGGGCCTTCCATTGTCTCTGCTGATCCAGAAAAGCACTTAGCAAAAGTCCCCGAGTCCAGCCGAGAGGCTTGGGGGATAACTTAAGTTCATTGGTGCCTGATTCAGGGCCTCCTTTTCTCCTGGAAATAGAACTCTGGGTCTGAAACACTACTGATATCCGATCGTCCACATGCTTAGAGCAGCCTGGCTACGCACGCCCCTGAAAACACACACTGCGATCCACGAAGCATGTCGGAACTAACAGTAACCCCCTTTCCATCAGAATGTCCCCAAGCCCTGGCCCACTAGCTGTGCCTCAGGACTGTCGTCTGGAAACAGGGTAGCCGTAGACCCCCTGGGGCAGGGGTGCTGAGAGAACTAGAGGGCTGCAGGCTGCATGACCATCATGCACTGGAATGTCCCCAGGGCAGGGACGGGGTTGGAGACCAGGCTCTGTCCCTTAAGGAGCAGCTGGGGAGGGGCGCCTGGGTGGCTCAGTCAGTTAAGCGTCTGACTTCAGCTCAGGTTATGGTCTCACGGTTTGTGAATTCAAATCCCACGTTGGGCTCTATGCTGTCAGCACAGAGCCTGCTTTGGATCCTCTCTCTC